GATATCCGTTCTTACAAGAATCTTGGAATGCCGATGGGCTACATGGTCCGTGTTTTCCAGTGGAAAACATCTGAACTCAGTAATGTTTTACAGCGATTTCTACACGTGTGTTATGATTTACTGAATGGCAAGACTGATTATGAAAATTTTGCCCAAGAATTAACAACAGCATTGGATTGGATTATGAATCACTGCTTTTCACTTCAGGATGTTTCTAGTATGAAGGATGCCATCAAGAAACAATTTGATTGGGATGAGACACGGAGTGAAGGTGAAGCAGAGAATGAGATGTTAAGTCGTTTTGCAGAGGAAGATAAGTTGCATCATCCCAGAGAAAATTCGTCATCTTTGCCTCAAGTAACTACTTCGGATGGTCATGATCTTCAGAAAGGAGAGATATATTCCAATGAGAAAAAAGAACTTTCAAATATTAAAGATAAATTGGTCACCGCTGAATCTCAAAAGGAAGTTTTGGAAGGGAAACTTCAATCAGCTACTGATAGGATTGAATCTTTAATGAATCAACTCAAGGAATCAGAGAAAACTGTTGACATCTTGAGATTAGATATACAATCCTTTAAAGAATCCAATGAAAAACTTGAGGATGAAATTAGAAATCAGAAACTGATAAATTCAAATCTTGATGCACAGCATACAGAAGCAGAATTGAAAGAGGCTCGTGACAAGGTTTTGGCTTTAGAAGTGGAACTGGAAAACAAGAACCGCACTTGTGAAGAATTAGAGGCTAAATGTCTTGAGTTGCAGCTCCAGCTTGAAAGGTATGAATTGTTCTTGCACATTTGTTTCAGCTCAATATGCTTTTTGAACATTTGGCTTTTAATTTCTAATTGTGGATAATTAATGTTCTCAGCATGTCAAAGGAGTGCTCAAACCATGATATTAATGAAAAAGATAAGCCACTGCGGAATGTAAGTTCACCTCCTTCTAGTCCATTCTCCTTGATTCATAGTCAGATTATCAGTTCCTATGTAACTTTCAAGAATATTTAATCTAGGTGAATCATGATTCCCCTAAAAACAAAGCACTAAATAGTACTCGAAGCTATATGACGCCTTTTAAACAACAAACTGGAAATATCAATGTGGAGCATGAAAACATTGAGCAATATTATACAAAACTGTTTTTGGGGACTTATACTGAGTATTATGAATTGATTACCTGTGCAAATTCATTTCTGTCGTGCTTGTGTTGGTTTGAGTTGAGGAGTGTTGATCAATACTACAGGACTGGGAGATAACAGCTGCTTCAGAAAAGTTGGCAGAGTGTCAAGAAACCATCCTGAATCTTGGGAAGCAGTTGAAAGCAATGGCTGCACCAAAGGATGCATCCCTTTTTGACAATGTTGTTGCTGCCCAATTTAATACAATCACCACTGCCACCACCACCACCACTATGAATGTGGATCCAAGACCTGCCCCTCCAAAACTTATGAAAGTGAAAACTCGATCACTACTTGATCAGATGCTAGCTGATGATACTAAAGCCAAGATTCCCAAAGCAATTGACGGCAACTCCAACCCCATCATCATTCCTGGCGTTATAGAGCCCCTGGAAAAGATTTTAGTTTTAAACGGAGTTAAAGATCAGGAAGACAGCACTAATTCTTTGGCCATTGTACCTGCTAAGAAACCAGGAAGTGGAAGTTTGTGGAGGAAGTTATTAGGGAGAAAGAAGAAAAGTGTCAACATGAAAACACCCTCTAGTTGAACAAATAAAATGCTCATACATAGTAGATTGTAGTGTTGTTCAGTACAGTACCAAGCCAAAAGAAGGAAACTATATTTGTTGTCGATATCTTTATTGAAGGGAGTTGATTGGTGTTTGTGTGTTTTGCTCTTGATTACACGACTGAAAACTAACCGAAGTTCTTGTTATAAGGCACTCACCCGTTGTTGTTAGGGGCATATACGTTACTCGGGTGTTCAGCAGTGAGAAATCCCTTTAAATGATGATTTCAAGTTTTGTGACCTTATACTCGATTGTGTCATTACTGAAATGATTATTAGTGAAACATATGCTGGTTGCCAACGGCTTACGGACATCCTGCACAATGCTATTCTAACTAGTTCAAGAATCATGGATGAATTACAATGACATTTAACTAGCTTTCATGATTTTATGTAATGTAATAGGGAATGCTCGACCACCACCTATGTTGCACGGTGCTGTGAGCCCAAGTCCGATACTTTTTTAGGGTGGACGTGTCTTGGATGTTCCAGTGGACTGTGTTCGCACAAACTGGATACGGTCTCTATCGGAAATACTCACAAAATTTATGTGTTTTTATATGTCTTTATCAAACATTATCCGACATGCGAATTTGAGTTTTTTTTTTTAAGAAAAGAAATAAATCTTGATAAAAATAAAAATAAAGAAGGGAAGATTTGAGATTTTTTTTTTAAAAAGAATAAATCTTGATGAAAATAGAAACAAAGAAGGGAGAATTGAGGTTTTTTTTTAAAAAGAAATAATTCTTGATAAAAATAAAAATAAAGAAGGGGAGATTTGAGTTTTTTTTTTGTTGATAAAAATAAAATAAGGTAGATAATTGTTCTTATTTCTTCTTACTTAACCTTCACCTAATAGAAAAAAAATCTTAATAAAATTAAAAAGAGTTAATTATTCATACATTGTCGGTGTAAAGTTTTTTACACTGACAACTAATCATATCTTTTAAATTATTTTATTTTATTTTTATTTCATTAAATAAACAATTGATATGACACTATTAAAAGATATAATTGGTTACCAGTGTAAAAAAACTTTACACCGACAGTGTATAGGTGATTAACTCAATTAAAAATAAGCAAGGAAAGATTTGAGATTTAAAAAAAAAAAATTTTGTTGTAAATTATGATATCTTTTAATAATTTATTTTTTAGACTTAGTAAACTATTGTCATATTAATATATAATTTTTTATATATTATTTATATTATACATTATATATATGTTGTATTATTCTTTGTTTTTTAATTTTGTTGTAACTTCATGTTCGAGTTTATATCATGTTCCATGTTCCCCCGTCATATCCAAATCCATGCTGCATAGACCACCACAACTCAATGCAGCCGAATTCCACTTTGAACGTTCTTCGCTTGTGGAGAGAAATGGTTTTCTATTCTCTTCATCAGGAATTCTGATGTGATTGGGTCAGAGAAATGTAAGGGACACCTTTTTCTGAATATACTTTTTATAATTGGCAGAAAGAGTAATAAGTTAAAGAAGGTTGCCAGTACTCCTCATTAGATTTACTTGGCAAAAGATGTCCACGCTTTGTTTAAACGTGACTTTGGAAGCTTTTAAAATTGTTTTAGTTGTAACAAGTCAAGATTATTTTCAGCTAGAATCTGTCAACCAGCTGTTAATGGATTAGCTTTCTTCTATTTTTCAGCTAGGATTTTTTGTTCGCATGATCTCCTATTTGGTTATTTTCGAATGGAATTTAATGTAAGTTGTAATTAATAAAATTAACTTCACTTTTGCAGCCAAATTTAGCTACTTTTTTTTTCTCATCAGTTTCTTTTGTGCTACTTTCTTTACAACGTTTTTGTTGTTTGATAATGAATTTCCTCTGTTTTGAGAGAAAAAATCATAAGAAAAGAAAAAAAAAAAAAAAAGACGTCAAAGGCTAAAGCATGCTTGTGTTTTGGTGTTTCCGTACACATACGATGTTCTAATACGAAATGGATTAATAGGCTGCGCTGATAATTTTTGTTCCACTTTTGTTTCTCAAAAGACGGCTTCGACACCGTCAGAAAATTAAATCAAGCTGATAATGTTGAATGGCTGCAACACGAACTTGGAATTTTGACTATTTCACACCGTCTCTAATTTGCTTCAAAGTTAAGAATACTAAAGTGACTGAGTAATTAAGTTTTATAAATTGTAATGCCTATAAAAGGCAGTGTATGCTAAACAAAGTATGTAGAATTCTTTCTTTGAGTGAAATCTTATTTTAGAAAAAATCTCTTCTTCCTTCTCTCTCTCGTTTTGGCTGTGCATGATATTTGATTGTTTGATTGATAACAATTTAGTATCAGAGCTTGAGAGTCTAGTAATAGTGTGAGGAAAAAAAAATATACTTGAGTGAGGAATAAGAGGGTTCTCATTTTGTTAAAAAAAAAGATAGAGTTGTTATATCTTTGAGAGAGAGATATGGCCACCAATTACAATATTATTTGGTCTAGTCCCAAGTTAGATGGGAAATTAGATTTTAGTTATTGGGAGACTTTGATGGCCAGACATTTAAGAGCTCACAATATTTGGAGCTTTGTTGAACCGGGATTAGTAGGAGCTAATGATACTGCTAGGAGAAGAGATCAATTGGCGTTGTCACAAATTCACCAAGGAGTAGATTATTCTATTTTTGGCAAAATTGCAAATGCCAAAACTGCCAAAGAAGCGTAGAATATTTTGAAGTTGTCATATAAAGGTGTAGAGAAAGCTCAAAAATCCAAGTTGCAATCTTTGCGAAGGGAATATGAAAGATATGAAATGTCGAATTCTGAATCTGTGGAACAATATTTTTCACGAGTTACAGATCTCGTCAACAAAATGAAAGTATATGGAGAAGATATTCCTGATAGCAAAGTGGTAGAAAAAATTCTTCGAACAATGCCGATGAAGTTTGATCATGTGGTAACTACAATAATTGAGTCCCATGATACAGACATCATGACTGTAGCAGAGTTGCAGGGAAGCATTGAAAGTCATGTGAGCAGAATCTTGGAGAAGACAGAAAAAGTAAATGAAGAAGCTTTAAAAAGTCAGGTGAATCTTAACAATATAGATGAAACCAATCAAAGTGTAGAAAGTAGAGGTCGAGATAATTACAATAATGGAGGAAGAGGAAATTATAGAGGGAGAGGTCGAGGAAACTATAGAGGCAAAGGACGTGGAAATTTCAATCAAGGACGAGATAATAATCTTGGATCATTCAACCAAGGAAGAGGAGGAAATACTTTTGGTGTTGCCAACCATGGAAAAGGACGTGGTAACAATTACCAACAAAGAGCAAACTTTAATTGCTTATATTGTGGAAAGTTTGGACACAAAGCTACAGAATGCAGATTTAAACAACAGGCGAACGTGGCAGAAAGTCATCAAAATATTGGTGAGAATTCTTATAATCCACAAAGTTTATTTTTGGCAAGCAATACATTTTCTGAGGGTGAAAATATTTGGTACTTGGATACTGGATGTAGCAATCATATGTGTGGGAAAAAGGAGTTATTACAATAGAATCTACTGTGAGATTTGGAAACAACACAAATATTCCTATTTTAGGGAAAGGCCAAATTAATATTAGATTGAAAGATGGTTCGCAAAATTTTATCTCTGATGTTTTCTATGCTCCTGGTCTTCATCACAATCTATTGAGTATGAGACAACTATCAGAGAAAGGTTACAACATGCAGATTCATCATGGATACTGCACGTTGATAGACAAAAGTGGAAGATTTATAGCTAAGGTAAAAATGACCCTCAATCGATTATTTCCTTTGAAGATTTGTCATGAAAAGTTTTCTTGTTTGAGTTCTATTATTCCCAATGATGATTGGTTGTGGCATATGCGCTTTGGACACTTTCACTTCTCTGGATTAAATTATTTGTCAAGAAAAGAATATGTTTCTGGCTTACCTATTGTGAATACTCCTAATGGTGTTTGTGAGACGTGTGAGATTGGAAAGAAGCATAGAGAATCATTCCCAACTGGAGTATCTTGGAGGGTGAAGAAGCTATTAGAGATAGTTCATTCAGATTTGTTCACAGTTGAGATCCCAACTCATAGTGGTAGTAGATATTTTATTACTTTTATTGATGACTTTAATATAAAGACATGGGTACACTTCTTGAAACAGAAATCAGAAGCATGTGATGTCTTTAAAATGTTTAAGGCATTTGTAGAAAAGCAAAGTGGTTGAAAGATTAAAGTATTGAGAACAGACAGAGGCCAAGAATATCTTGCTTGTACAAATTTCTTTGAACAACATGGAATTCAACACCAACTAACAATTAGATACACACCTCAACGGAATGGAGTTGCTGAAAGAAAGAATAGAACAATCATGGATATGGTGAGATGTATGTTAAAGGCCAAACAGATGCCTAGAGAGTTTTGGGTAGAAGAAGTTGCTACTGCTGTTTATATCTTGAATAGGTGTCCAACAAAGAGTGTTCTTAACAAGACACCAGAAGAAGCTTGGAGTGGAAGGAGACCATCAATTAGACATCTCAGAATTTTTGGATGCATAGCATATGCACATGTCCCAAATCAACTCAGAAAGAAATTGGATGACAAAGGAGAAAGGTGTGTTTTCATTGGCTATAGCTCAAATTCAAAGGCATATAAACTTTACAATCCAGAGACAAATAAGGTGATTATCAGTAGAGATGTGACATTTGATGAGAAAGGCATGTGGGATTGGTCTTTTAAATCCCAAAAGGAGAAAATGGTGATCTCTAACAATTATGAAGAGTCTGAAGGACAACCAGATCCAGTTGTTGATGAACCAGAATCCTCTAACAGACCAAGGAGGCGTTGCCAACTACCAGCTAGATTGGAAGATTATGTTATGAGTAATGATAATGACCCATCTGATGAAGAGATTATCAATTTTGCTTTATTTGCAGATTGTGAGCTTGTGACTTTTGAAGAAGCCTCAAATGATGAGAAATGGAGAAAAGCAATGGATGATGAAATTCATGCCATTGAGAAGAATGAATCGTGGGAATTAACAAATTTGCCAACAAATAAAAAGCCTATTGGAGTAAAGTGGGTGTACAAGATCAAATACAATCCCAAGGGAGAAGTTGATCGCTTTAAAGCAAGGTTGGTGGCTAAAGGGTACAAACAAAAACCAGGTATTGACTACTTTGAAGTATTTGCACCTGTTGCAAGGTTGGATACAATTCGTATGATTATTTCTCTCTCGGCTCAAAATAATTGGAAGATATATCAAATGGATGTTAAGTCTGCATTTCTGAATGGTATTTTGGAAGAAGAAGTATATGTTGAGCAACCTGTAGGATATGTTGTAAAAGGAGAAGAAGATAAAGTATATAGATTAAAGAAAGCTTTGTATGGATTAAAGCAGGCACCAAGAGCCTGGTACAAGAAAATTGATTCTTACTTTACGCAACATGGTTTTGAGAGATGTCCTCTTGAGCACACTCTATATGTTAAATTTGTTGGTACTGGAGATATTCTTATATTGTGTGCCTATATGTTGATGATTTAATATTTACTAGCAACAATCCAAAGATGATTGCAAAATTTAGGGAGGCTATGATAAGATGTTTTGAGATGACAGATTTAGGCCTAATGTCCTATTTTTTTGGCATTGAGGTCATTCAACAAGAAGATGGAATTTTTATCTCTCGAAAGAAATATGCAGGTGATATTTTGAAGAAATTCAAGATGGAGAATTCAAAACCAATTTCTACGCCAGTTGAAGAAAAGTTAAAACTAACAAAAGAAAGTGAAAGCAGAAAGGTGGATGCTAATCAATACAAAAGTCTAATTGGAAGTTTGAGATATCTGACTGCAACTAGACCAAATATAGTATTTGGAGTTGGGTTGCTTAGTAGATTTATGGAGGAGCCACGAGCTTGTCATTTGCAAGGAGCAAAAAGAATTCTTCGTTACATTAAAGGTACTCTGACTGATGGAATTTTTTACGCCAATAATAATAATGTGAAACTTGTTGGATACACAGATAGTGACTGGGCAGGAGATGCGGAAACAAGAAAAAGCACGTCAAGATATACGTTTCATCTAGGTACTGGTGCAATATCATGGTGTTCAAAGAAACAACCAATTTCCACAATGGCTGCACCGTCTCTAATTTGCTTCAATGTTAAGAATACTAAAATTGACTAAGTAATTAAGTTTTATAAATTATAATGCCTATAAAAGGCAATGTATGCTAAACAAAGTATGTAGAATCCTTTATTTGAGTGAAATGTTATTTTAGAAAAAATCTCTTCTTCCTTGTCTCTCGTTGTGCATGATATTTGATTGTTCAATTGATAACAGACACGCCCCAATCATAGACCTTACCTTCTTTATAAACGCTGAACGATCCACAAATAAACTAAACTTAATTACCCTTTACCATTGCAGTACAATAATTGCTTTCCCACGCCCAAGACTAACCAACGCACCACCACCTAAGCTTCGACACCATGGAAGCCGTCCAAGTCATCTCCACAACTACAATCCAAGCACCGAGTAACAATATTAACCATAACTCACCTCACAAAATCGATTTAACTCCGTGGGATCTCCAATTCCTCCCAATTGAAACCATTCAAAAAGGACTTCTTTTTCGCAACCAAAATCACACACCAAACCAAATTAAGAACCTCCAACATTCCCTTTCATCCACTCTTGCCTTTTTCCCACCCCTCGCGGGTCGTCTCGCCGTTTTCCAACATGATGACAACACTGTCTCGTCCCACATCGCATGCAACAACGCAGGTGTCCTTTTTGTCCACGCGGTTGCACCCAACACCACCGTTGCCGACATCCTTAAACCCAACTACGTTCCTCCCGTTGTCCACTCCTTCTTTCCACTTAACGGAGTCAAAAACTACGAAGGCACGTCACAGCCCTTGCTGGCAGTGCAAGTCACGGAGCTAGTTGACGGCGTCTTCATCGCCCTCACAATGAACCACGTGGTAGCCGACGGCAAGTCGTTTTGGCATTTCGTCAATTCCTGGGCTGAAATCTCACGTGGTTCACGTGAAATATCCAAACTCCCTTCTCTCGAACGTTGCTTTCTGATTCTGAGTGACACAGAGACCCCCATACGGTTTCCTTTCAGAAAGGAGGAAGAAAAACAACACTCCCAAAACCTCAATCCACGTGAGAGGGTGTTCCATTTCACGAAGGAAAAAATGGCGCAACTCAAATCGAAAGCCAACGCAGAGGCCAACACCGACAAAATATCTTCTCTGCAAGCGCTCTTAACTCTCCTTTGGCGCACTGTGACACGTTGCAAACGTGTTGACCCGCAAGAAAACATGCACTACGTGTTTTTCATTGGCGTTTGGTCGAGGATGGTTCCACCACTGGGAGGCTAGTGTGGTGACGATGAAAGCCGGGGAACTGTTGGAGGGTGGGGTGGGAAAGGCTGCTTGGGAGATGAACAAGGTCATTTCTTTGCACTCTCATGATACCATAAAAAACCACAATGAGTGTTGGGTGAGAAGGCCAAGGGTGTTAACGCTGCCGAGTGGCGATAGTAGTAATTACTTGATCACTAGCAGTTCACCGAGGTTCAACATATATGGTAATGATTTTGGGTGGGGAAAGGCTGAAGCAGTTCGAATTGGCGGTGGACATAGACGTAGCGGAATGATTACTGTGTTTGGTGGCGCTGAAGAAGGCTCTATTGACATTGCGGTGGACCTTCCTTATGAGATTTTGGAGGCCATGGGAAATGACCCTGAGTTCATGGATTTCATGTCCAACTAACAATCCAGTCCCGTTTAGTCCAGTTCATATCCAGGTTCCTTGTATTATCTATACGTCTTTGCGATTATATGAAAGGATGTGGTTGTGTGCACTCGTGTTTTCCAAGACTAGAGTTAAAACCGTTAAAAAAATATGAACATTAAAACAGAATATCTCCTCCATATATCGGTACATAGATTATATAAAGTGAAAGTAGTTTCAGATAACTTTTTTGGTTTCTCCTCCATATATCGGTATATAGATAATATAAAGTGAAAGTAGGTTCAGATAATTTTTTTTTCATGATCATTATATCTTTAATAATTTTCTTTTAACATTTAAACAGTTTTTCGCAATTAAGGTTTAAATGGTATTGAATTTGATTTTTTTAAGTAGAGTCTTAAATTTAAGTTTTGTATGAAAAAAAATTAGGGATAACAATGAACCGAACTAATTCAGAAATAGTTTAAAACTCAATCCAATAATTAACTTGTTAAACTTGGTTTATGAATTAAATAGTTTGAACTTGAGTTATAGATTACGTTCAATAAATAAATGAGTTGAACTTGAGTTATGGGATAGTTAGACTCATTTAGTTTATGAATTGGCTCAACATATAAATATATAATTTACATAATTAATTTTGTATTTATTTTCAAATTATTAAATTTTTTTAAAAAAAATTCAAAACTTAACTATAAGTTAATAATAATGAAAGAAGTGAACACATTAGAATTTTATAGTTATAGATTTGATTTTTTATTATTTTATTCAAGGTGAAATAGTTTTAATTTATACGAACTTTAGTCATAATTATGTTTCTTTTGAATTGTACCTTATAATCTTGCAAAACTAATAGAATAAGTTATGCTTTATCTTTCTTAAAAAAATAATTATTATTTTATGTAAAATCTATTATTAAATTGAAAATTTGAAATGTATAAAATTCAAAAAAATTGATTCTTGGTTCATGTGATTTGAACTAATGAGTTCAATCGAGCCGCTAATGAACTTAAATCGAATTAAGTTTGGGCTAAAAAAAATTTATATCAAATTTGAGTTAAGTCAAATTGAATCAAACTCGACTCGACTCATTTCCGATTTTACCTCATACCAATAATATTGTTAAAAAAATGCTTTTTTTTTTCAGCATACACTCACAATGTAACCGCACATATGCTCTCTTTCTAGATGTAACTACAAATTTTTCTTTATATTATTTTTATTACAAGTTTAATTTAATTATTATTAAGTTTAGCACACAAAAAATATGTTAATAAATTATTTACAATTATTCAATAATTATTATTGTATTTTAAAAATATATTAAAATACAAAGTACCTCTTTTTTGACTATAATAAAGATTCAATGGCAGCTCAATTTAATGGCAACTCTGGAGTTGAGTAAATTTTGCATTTTGCTTTGCTATTGCTTGACAATCTATAGAGTTTGACCATCCAGCCAAGGAGGGCAATCCAAGTTGATCTCCCTTCAAAGACGTTGAATCTCGATGGTGGGGCGAATCACAATGTTGAGTTCACTACTTAGATGTATCCCCTTCTGCTCTTAAAAGTTGAAGAATAATGAATGTCTATTAGAGTCATAAATGGGAGGAGTCCAATCATTATCGGTTGATATATCCTCCTTGAGGCACTCCATCTCTTATGCTTCTTTAGAGTCTATGCTACCATCATTAGACTCAAACAAAGCCGAAGGTGGCATCAAAAAGATGAAGTCTTCTAGGTCCATTTGATTTGGTTCTACCATGGAATTGTCAAAATTAAGAGGTTCAACATTAAGAATCACCTTTGTTAACACTATAACATCAAAAATTGCACGCACAGGTTCCACCAAGATTGGAAATCTTGGTACGATCGGGATGTCCAACGGACTAGGAAAGTCCATGCTTTTGGCTTTGACGTCGACCTCACTAGCCTAAGTAGGACCTTCAAATTGAGGTTCCCCCTTAAAAAAAGCTTGGGGTGCCTCCTGAATTGGTTCTTAAGGCTCTTTTTGAGCCAAAATGGAAATCTGTGAGAGAGACAGAGTGACAACAACTTCCAATTGTTGTGCCTCCAAAGTAGTTAGAGTAGTATTTGTGAGGGCATGTTGCTTGGCTTCCTTAGCATACTAAAGCTTAAAACACTTCACAACTTGCTCTTCCTCCGAGTTCCTTGAGGCTTAGGCTAGTCTTATTAGGCCATGCATTAGGCGTTGATTGCAGGTAGGTGGAGCCTGTATGGTGGTTTGTTGAGGTTGTTAAGGCTAAGGTTGAGATTGAGGCTTGGGTTTTGGTTGGGATGGTTGTGCAAATGAAGAGGCCGATGATTGTTTAGATGGTGGAGGAAGTTGAGAGATGATTTCTAGACTAGAGGTGGAGGATTTATGGGTAGGATAGTGGATGAGTAGCTTATCATTTGAGTTAGATGAAGTTTTGTGAATGTAGATTTTGGGGGCTTTGGAGATGGAGGCTTTAAGTTGTGGCTTGGAAGGTGAGGGTAGGGTTTTGGACTGGCGAGTTTGTTGGGAACTCAAAACAAATTTCTTGGAAGGGGGCTCCTCCTCCATTGGTTTTTCCTTGATGGTCAGAGGGTGGCTTTTCATTGAAGAGAAAAGATGGGCTATACCCATTTTCCTTAGAGTGGTCATTGATACCTCTCCTCCTTTAGGGTTGATAGAGAGACAAAGTGTCAATCCTTGCATTCTAAATGACCATTATAAAGAGCATATCATAGGATATGAGGGCTCCCTTGCTCCTCTCCTAGTCTCACTATGATAGACATGCCTTTTAGTGATTGTAGATTAGCTTAGGCAAGTTAACCTTACTCCTTAACACTAGGTAGTATAGATAAAACCTGTCCAAGTCATAGACATGATCTCTCAATCCTGACCTTGGTAAGAAGATGTTGAAGAATAGGTTGTGGAACATCCTACTGAGTGGAGTGATATTGTTGGCTGTGTAGAGGAATTTCTTCAACTTGTTTCTCTTTGATGGTTGTGAACCATTTGAGTATATGTGTGCATCTATTGTGTCTTGGTTGATGGTGAATTATTAGTCACCCTTGTAAACTTTGTCACTAAGACTATTGTAATGATTAGGGGATTCACTTGAACAATCATTTGGTCTACTCATCTAATGATGGAGTGTGGCTCCTAGATGGCATTTTCCTAGAAGCTAGCATAAAGAGCATGGTGCCAATTGCACTTTTGCTCGACGAATGGTGTCCAACCAACATGGTTGAGGTAGGTCTTCACTAGGTAGCCCTCACCCTACATTTTCTGCATAGCGATGGTTTTGTCAAGCAAGAAAGAAAATTTTGGGTACTTTTCCATGGGCACCTTACTGCCAGACGGAGTAGCTTTAGGTGCCATTTGTGTTTTAGGAATTGAAGGTTTGTGTTTATAGAGAGAATTTTTTTGGAAGAAGATGAGTAGTTGGTTTGTAAAAGGACTTTTGAGAAAGTGGTATAGTGGAGGGAAACAATTAGTCTTTGTAAAAAGGAGGAGGCAAGGTCTGAGAGAATGTGGTTGACAGACTAAGGGGACAGGGTAGGTGTTGACATAATGTGTCGTTCCCACTTCTACATGTGTTACTTTCTCGAAAACCAACACATATGATGATATTCAACATTAATGAGCTTTAAATGTATTTGAAATCTTTTAAAAAATTTAGACGATATATTAATGCAAATATCAAGTCAACTTAATGAAATGACATATATGCATAAAATGATGAGTTGAATGATACATAATAAAAAGTATATAAGATGATACAAAATAAGACGATGCATGAAATGTTTAGTCTAACGTATATTGTATAGGTGTAGATGATGTCTAATAAATTTAAAGTGTTCTTCAACTAAAACTTTGGAAAGATATCAACCCATTGATGATCAATGTCAATGAATTTTATGTCAAAAACCCCTTTTGTATATAATCATGAATGAAATGATATCTTATTTTAATATCCTTTTCCTTGGGATGTTGTATGATATTTTTAGAAAGATTAATAGTACTAGTGTGATCATAGAATACAAGTATATTATTTTCAAGACTATAATAGTCTTCTAATTGATACTTGACCCATAGGAGCCGTGAGCAACAACCGGCTATTGAGATGTACTATACTTTTGTGGTTGAAAAGGTTATGGAATTCTGTTTCTTGTTTGTCTAAGAGATGGGGCAACTTTCCAAGAATTGATAGGCTCCACTTATACTCTTCCTTTCAATCCTATCTCTAGCATAGTCAGATCACATAATCCTTCTAACCTAAAATTATTGTTCCTTTCATAGAATAAACACAGGTTAGTAAAACCTGCAAGATATCTGAATATTCATTTCACAACTTTTAGGTGTGACTCTTTAGGATCAGATTAAAATCTAACATAAAGACAAACACTAAACATGATATCAAGTCTGCTTAAAGTCAGGTAAAGTAAAGATCCAATCATACCTTTGTAAATCATTTGATTTACTAGTTTACCTTATTCATATTTTGACAGACCTATAGTCGGAGGCATGGGTGTAGGCATTGACTTGTAGTCATTCATCTCAAACTTTTGAAGAAATTCTTTGGTGTATTTTTGTTGATGAATGAAAATGCCTCTGTCTATCTACTTGATCTGAAGTCCTAGTAAGAACTTAAACTCACCCATTATGCTCATTTCAATATTTTTTTTTGCATTAGCTTTGAAAACTTCTCACACAAAAATTCATTAGTAGCACCAAATACTATATCATCCACATATATTTGAACTACAATGAAATATGTTCTAAAATCTTTTCTTAAAAGAGTTATGTTAATTTTACCCCTCACAAAATTATTATTGGGCAAAAAATTACTTAGTCTCTCAAACCAAGATCTAGGAGCTTATTTTAGACCATAAAAGGCCTTTTTAAGTATGAAAATGTATTCTCTAAAATTAGGATCTTCATAATCCAGAGGTTATTTAACATATACTTCCTCCTTAATTATTCCATTTAAAAATATACTCTTTATATCGATTTGAAAAAGTTTTAT